GGGAGAGGGGGAGGGAGAGGGGGAGAGCAGAGGGAGAGGGAGAGGGAGAGGAAGAGGGAGAGACAAGGGACAAGGGAGAAGGAGAGGGAGAGGGAGAAGGGAGAAGGGAGAAGGGAGGGAGAGGGAGAAGGGAGAGGGAGAGGGAGAGGGAGAGGGACTGAGGGAGAGGGAGAGAGAGGAGGGATGAAGGAAGAGAGGGAGGGCGAGCCTGCCACTACCCAACTTAGTCTACTTAAACGGGATCGTACTTGTCACTACACAGAATGATTAAATTCGACAACCAATTCGAGTGTGCAAAGAACTTCCCCTTCATGATATGATAGTTTGATTCGCATCTTGCAACAGAGATCTTCTTTAAACTGATGATTCAGGACGTCGAGGAGAAAGGCCTGTACCGCTCAGGTGGGTAAGAAGAAGATTCGAGAATCATTACAGAGTCGTCGAGGTCGACGAATACCGTACTACGAAGTGCTGTAACGATTGTGATTCTGAGCTCGATGTGCTTCGACGGATTGAAAAGAAAGGGAAGAAACCAGACGGGACCTGGAGGTTGAAAACAAGGAAAAGTGAAGTACGAGGATTGAAATTTTGCAGGTCATCGAGGTAATATTTTGTATACTGCCGTAATTCACCTTTTCGTCTGACTGTTATCGTGGCAGCTGCAAAGAAAAGCCGATTAAATCCCGGGACTTGAATGCGGCACTGAATATACTCGCTTGTTTCAAGGTGTTTCCTGAAAGACCGAATCACCTACGTCGCCCCTGAGGTGAACTCCATGATTGTTGTCGCCCCCTCCCTGCCCAGGCTGCGTCCCTCGGGCCTGCCTGCCTGCCTGCCTGCCTGCCTGCCTGTATATTTGCATGCCTGCCTGCCTGCATGCATGCATACCTGTACGTCTGCTTGCCTGCCTGCATGTATGTCTGTGTGATATGTATGTCTGTGTCTTTCAGGCACCTTACCTTCATCTATCTCTCCATCTCTATCCACCTGATCATGTTTACGACATATGATCATTGAAGTGATTACTGACTGACATCATTTGGTAGGGTTCATGTAAGGCTCCAACAAGAGTCGCGGCTCTCAATCCTACAGCGGCCGCTCTGATCGAAAACTGACGGACCGGGCCACCTAACTCTCATACTTCGTCACCGTCTGCCGTTATTATGAGAGGGAGAGTACCCGTGGTAGATAGACTCGTGACGTTTATCTATTAAACTGATGATGTCGGATTGGCACATCATGAGTGACTCTCAAACTTGAGTCACCTGACGCCGGCGAGTCGCCCGGTCAACCAGCCTCCTGGCCGCGGCCCGGCCACGGCTCCGCAACTCACAGGCAGCGCCGGGTCAAACAGCCAGCTCTTTTTTGTTTGTCAAATTCGAGTCCAGGCCTATAACCAGGTCCAAACTCCTCATGGAGGCGGCAGTCCTTACGGTTCAGCGAACATGGAGGGGGCACGCGGGGAGGGCGCAGGTTCGTCAGCTGCTCTTCCATGTATACCAAGACTTTGAAGACTACGAGCTTCAAGCACCTTCTCCTCCCTCTCCTCCTCCCTTTCTTCTTCAGCTGCTCGAGCTGTCAGCACAAGCCGTGAAGGCTGGAGAGTTCGACAATGCAGCGGTCCTCGCAACCAATGCGATTGTACGCGTCCCCGTGATATGGTTTTCTATTGGTGACAGCTGAGCAGGAACAAGGTTCTGCTTCTCCTCAAGCCTTCTCTCTTCTCGGAGCTGCTTTTCTCGGCCTCGGAAGCGCCGCTGTAGCTGCAAGAGTTTTCCGAGAGGGATTGGCTCTGGCCCCTCTCAATCAGTTTCTTATCTCTGGTCTCAAGGTGAGTAGCACAAGGCTGACGGGTTGATTGTTAGCATAACTCATGTCCCAGGCATCGAGAGAGAAGCTAAGGCAGTCAGACTCGCTGTTGTTATCCGCAGGACAACAGTCAGGTGGTGAGGACGCTGAGGCTTGGTGGGATCACTATCCTGCTTGCAAGCTGTATGGGGCCTTCAAGATCTCTTTGCTTCAAGCCGTTGTGAGGAGGAGGCTCTTCCTGATGGTTCATGGGTCTCTTTGGTGCCTGCCAGCCCTTCCTCGCCTTCTGCTGCGCGACTCAAAAACTTTGAGTGAGGTGACAGCAGCTGCCGGACGCCTGCAGGGCGTCGTTCGGGCCAAACTCTGTCAGGTTCTGTTCCGGACCAACTCAGTCTGGTGGTGTCGATGGACGTCAGGGCTAGAAGATGCGCTGCGGCTGATTCTGATAGAAGAGGGGGGGTTGATCCAACCCGCTTCAGGTATCCAGACCGTGCACGGAGCCTGTGAGTCCCCAGCTGTGGACAAGAGGTCGGTCTTGTCGATACAAAAGCGTGAGGTCCTTCAAGTGGATCCACGTGTAGGACGGGAAGGGAACGTGCTTGCGCCAAGGCGAGTGGGGAAGTTGAGAAGAACTCATCCCTCCGCATCGCCTTCCTTGGTCATCTCTGCTTCCGAGGAGCCGCCGCCGCGCTCACCTCAAGCTTCATTCCTGTCGGTCGCCATGCTGGAATTGGTTGCCGCAAGGAGGTTGCAAGCGTCAGCAAGGATGCTGCTGGCCCACATGGTCCTGCATGGCCTGCTAAACCTGAGGAGGAAGCGGTTTCGGGCTGCTCTGCGACTTCAACGATGGTTCTCTGCCTTGAGGAGGCGACGCATCGCCGTCGTTGCTCTGAGAGCCTTAGCAGCACAAAGAGTGAAAGAGCGAGCGGCAGTTGTCATTCAGTCTCGCATGTTTCGCGGGCCCTCTGCTCGCGAGCGCGTTCACTTGCTGCGTCGTTGTTGGTTGTTGGGCCTGCGCGGGCAGGAAACGTGGATCACAGCGACGCCACTTGGGGCAAGACTTGTGCGGGGGATGCAGAAGCGCTGGGATTACATTCGAGTGCTGCAAGCTCATGCGAGGAAGCGGCTTCTGCAGGTTGACTCCTCTGCTCGTTCTAATGTTTCTCACAAGTTGCAGATGCGTCGCTGCTTCTTGACTCCTCCGGCTGCCTCTCAGCACGCTCTCAGATTTTCTCGCTGGAGGGACATGAGCTTGCAGGCTTGGCAGGAGCTACTCCCGACCATGTCTGCCTGCACGCGCTCGCGATGTGAGCGATGGTGGAGGTTGAGCAGCTTCAACAACGGAAACAAGGCGGAGGAGAAACCTCGTCCCACCCCTTCGCAACAAGTTGCTATAGGAAAGTCAAGAAGCATAAGAAGTCAAGGGCAAAGGGAAGAGGACCAGGTCACAGACACGAAGCTTTCATCGCTGCCTTCTCATCGAAACGTCTTCCTCCCTTTCCTCCAAACTAATTTTGTACAGGAGCATCTTTCCCTTCGCTTTGCATCTACTGCCGTGACCCCGCTGCCTCTCATAACCATCAGGAAAGAACAGTTGAATCCAGACAAGAGCAGAAGGAGGGAGATGGAGGCGCTGCCATGGCTGACGGAGAGGGTTCGACAGGACGAAAAAGACCTGAGGGTGTTGCGCAAGAGTCTCAAGGGTAGAAGATGATATCAAGCATTTACTTGTCATCTCCTTTTAGATATCAGCAAACGCGCCAAGCTCCTCCATCTCCCCTAGGAAAGCATCCAACGCATCCGCCTCTCCCTTGTGATCTCTGCCGCCGCCGCCGCCGCCGCCGCCGCCCGCCGCTGCCTTTGTCGGTTGGCTTGCAGTGACGAAGGGCTGTGCGCGCTTCTTGGCGATCATCTCGCGAGCAGAAGGAGGTTGCCTTCGCTTTACAGCTGCTGGTGCCATGCCGAGCACAGCGACATTGAGTGCTGCCTCCTCTGCTGGGACAGGCTGCGAAGGTGGTGCCTCCTCCTTCCTTGGTATGAACCTGTGATGAGTGAGAAAGTCATGTGAGGGAAAATGACGAAGTACGAGATGGGAGCATGGACGACGCTGCTGACTGCTTCTGTTCTTGATCCTCCTTCAGCCGTTTGCTCTTCTTCATCCGAATCCTCTCCGTAGTCACCCAACGCTGAGGCCAAAGCAGCAACTGCCGGCTCGTTCTTCTTTGGCTTGTCTGGGGGAGGAGGAGGAGGCATCGACTGTTCGGTTGTCTTGATAGGTTTTGGAGGAGGCGGAGGAGGAACAGCTTGGAGGGTGCGAGGCTTGTCTGCAAACAACATGAGAACAAGCATGCAAGCATCTGCCTCAGGTCTCTGCCTGGAGGAGGCGGCGGCGGCGGCATCGCACCGCTTGCTGATAAGGCACTTAGAGCACGAGGCGGAGGCGGCGGAGGAATTCCAGCTGGATTGTTAGCGGGTCGAGCAGGGGGGGGGGGAGGAGGCATTCCTGGTGGCGGCGGCATACCAGGAGCAGTAACGTTGCGAGGAGGAGGGGGAGGGGGAATCTGTCCAGGAGGCAGCACCCGAGGGGGCGGTGGCGGAGGAACAGACCCCAACGGGAGAACTGGCGGGGGAGGGGGAGGAATTCCGCCGATCGGAATAGTATTCGGAGGAGGAAGAGGAGGAGGGTAAGGGAGGGGCTGCTGAAAGGAGGGGAAAGATGATTGTAGGGAGGAGGCCTGGAAAGAAGGCTGCATGGAAGAACTTGCAGCCTCGTCATCGATAGGAGCAAACGGATCCTGCGGTTGTTGGGCAAGAGCTTTCGCGGCCGCGAGCTTTGCCTGCCTCTGCTGCTCCTCTTCTTCTCTTTTCTTCTTCTTCTGTAAAGCATTGTAGACGAGCTCCAGCTCTTCTTTCCTCCTGTTTGAGTAGTTGGTGCTCCCATGCTTGCGCTCTCTGTCCTCTATCTCTGCGATTCGTTTTCGAGCAAGCTCAGGGTTATGTTTGATCTGCTCCAGCTCCTTCCTCTGTTGACAGAGGATCAGAGATTGCGATCAAAGCGCAAGAAGTCACCTCTTGCTTGTGAACTTTGTTTCTCTTGATTTCCTTCTTCTTCATTTGCTTCCGGTAGGCGTCATTGGGATTCATCGCCTTCTTGTCCTTCCCCATCTTGAGTCTTCCTAGTGCCTATGTCTTGCCTATCACCTTCGTACCTTGAAGAAACACAATCAACAGTGAGGCGTGAGTCCTCTTCTCATGCTATCTTCTTGTTTCAATGTTGCACGATCTCATACATCATTCCATCCCCTCGCTATTTCCCTTCTACTTCTTCCTCTTCTCATCTCGTGCTAGAAAACAGGCTTCATCATTCTTTGAAGCTGATGGAAAAGTCACGAAGCGATTCCAACGCTAATGCATGCAACAGTCCTAAGGACAAACAGAAAGACCCCGACTGCTTTTCGACTGACAAAACATTTGAAACGGCAGAGAAAGAAGGCAATACGAGTGAGTGAAGAGAAAAAGATGGAAAGGGGCCAAGAAGAATGTGAAGAGCAAAGGAGAGAAGAAAAAGTAGGGCAGAGCACGGCAGGGCAGGGCAGGGCAGGGCAGGGCAGAGCAGGTCGGGAGGAAGGACAAGACAAAGGTAGCACAGGGTAGGGTAGCGTACAGAACGAATGGTTGGGGAAGGGAGGGGAAATGGAGGGGAGGGGAGGGGAGGGGAGGGGAGGGGAGGGGAGGGGAGAGGGAAGGGGGTTGGAGCGTCGGTGGCGAGAAAGCTAGAGAAAAACCGAGTCTGCCTCAGGCCCGTGACGCAGATTCTTTTTTAGCTTTACACAGCCTCTAAAAAGAAACTGTCAAACTTTCACGGTGGAATGTCAAACGGACTTGTGATTCCGTTTGACTCGAGCGCCATGCAGCGCTGTTGACAGACGAGCTCAGGAGATGAAGCTGTTGCTTGTGCGTCACGCGCAGTCGGAGAACAACAAGCTTCAGAACTCTATCCAGCAGCTTGTCATCCTGGGCAAGAAGAATGCGGCAGAAGCCAAGCTTGAGTGGATGGAGGTCAGACAGGCTGACCCGAAGCTCTCCGTTGAGGGTAGGGAGCAAGCAAAAATGTTGGGAATGAGAATCAAGAGATTGATCAGGAAGCATGAACGGAAAGGCGGGAGGTGAGCATAGCGACTCGTTGCGGCTGTCTCTCACTCGTCTTGATCAGCGTCAGGATCATGGTCTCTCCTATGCTGCGAGCTCTCGAGACTGCCAGCTTTGTGCTGGGTCCAAGTAAAAAAATGGCCCAAGTCCGAACTGAGCTAGCGGAGGTAGGAGGAGTGTACTCTACCTCCAAAGTCACCCAAGGTGGTGTGCCTTTCATCGAAAAGCGTCCTGGAAAGGCTCTCAGTAAGCAGAGCATTGAAGCCAACTTTCCTGCGATGTTCGACACATCAATGCTGGTTGACGAGGGTCCATGGGATGCTGGCCGAGGGTTCGAAAGCATCACACAGTCGATCACCCGATCAAACAAGCTGTGCGCATGGCTCCGTAGCCCAGGCATGCACCAAGAGGTAAAGAGGCGAATTCAAATCAACTGCTGATGCTTGACTCAGTTTGGGCCGAAAGATATGCTTGTTCTTATCTCTCACTCAGATCTCTTGGCTCTTTTACAGTCAACCCTGTCAGGCAACAACGTCGAAGATTACCTGGACAACCCAGACCTCTCTGGCTCTTACAGTCGACGATATGGTAAGAAAGGAGAGCTTCCCAACGACTCCAACGTTTTCGTTGCCTTCAAGACCTCACCAGCAGCTACCACTCTTCTCGATGTTCCACCCCAAGGCGTTCCGCAAGTGGTGTGGAGGAATCAGATGTCTCCTTCAGGTACCTACTTCACGTGAGATGCTGGCAGTGACTCCTGCTGTCAGTTGGTACCTGCACCGTGTTGTGATAGCATTCATCTCCAAGACTTTTTGACATTTTGCAGTGAAGTGATGGACAAATCATGTCTCTCTACTTCACTTGTTTACCTCGTTGCTTTCGTTTTCTCTTCCCCTCCTCTCACATGCCATCTCGCCGTCGCCTTCCCCGCTCAGCATCATAACAATTTTTAATAGAATGAAGGGCGGCAGGGCCTACTCGCCTCAGAGCCCCGCTCGCTCCCCTTCCGCAACATCATGACTGAAGCTCGGACGGAGTGAGGGGGAAGGCAGGGAGAGAGGAAGAGAGCGAGGGAGCTGTGCATGACCAGGCGTGAGTAGTCGGGCTGTGCATGACCAGGCGTGAGTAGTCGGGCGCTCTCTTGTCCAAGTACTGATGCAAGACCAGCATTGCGAACATGAAGAGGGTCGGGACGAGCCTGCTAGGAGAAAGTCGATCCATGATGAGAAGCATGAGGCCAACACTCGCCTTTCTTTCCTCTCGTTGGATACTTTCGTCCACAAGCGAGAGGCAGAAAACACTCAGAGCAGCGACAAGCAAGAAGGTGACGAGGTTCAAGAGGGAGAGGAAGAAGAGCCTGCAACAAAGAAGCTTCCGTTGCTGCTCTTGAATCCGTTCTCTGTCGGGCATGTGTTGTGGGACACTTGGATGGTTGTCATCACGATATACTACATCATCATCATTCCCTTCAAGATCACCTTCGTCGACTCGCAGTCCTACCGATGCGATGCTCAAGACGTCTCCAAGTGTCCGGGGTTCTGGTGGCAGAGCTTCTTCTCTGACAGCTCATGGCTGTACGTGGACTTCGTGATGGACTTCATGTTCATGACCGACATCCTCGTCAACTTCCTCACGTCCTACCACCTCTTTGACGCCAAGGGAACCAAGTATCTCGTGACCGACAGGAGGCAAATCGCGTTGAAGTACCTGAGGACATGGTTCTTCATCGACCTGATCGCTTCCTTTCCCTTCGACTTCATCTTCTACCTGCTCAACCTCTACACCAACGGGAGCATCATCAAGCTCCTCAAGTCCCTCAGATTCTTGAAGTTGATTCGCCTGTGGCGCGTAGGGAGAATGATGCATGTCTTTCAGGAAGTGTTCGACATGAACTACGGGCTCATCCTCCTCATGCAGATCCTCTTGATCTTCTCCCTCCTGGCTCACTACCTCTCCTGCTACTTCTTCTCCATGGGCGCCCTCCTGCAAACCTTTCGTGTCTGCTCCTCTCCCGCGGGGGAGGAGAGCATCTGCAGATGTTACGAAAGCGCCAACGAGGCGAACTGCGTGCCGACGACCTGGATCACGGAGAAGAGCTTCATGCTGCCGAGCGGAGAGATGTACGTGGTGGACATGGACGTCAATTGGCAGTATCTGTGCTCTATCTACTGGGTCGTCACGACCATGTCTACCGTTGGGTTCGGCGACATCGTTCCGGTCACCGACTGGGAGGTACTCATGTGCATCGTCGCTCAGGTGCTTGGGGCGACGACCTTTGGGTTCATCGTCGGCAACATGTCAACCTTGACCGAGTCGTTCGACACCAGAAAAGAAGAGATGAAGAATCAGATTGAAGACCTGCAGGCGTACCTCTATGCTTGCGGTGTTCCTTTCGAGTTGGTCACGCGGCTGATACAAGATATTCGGTACAACTATCTCCATCCCATCTCTGAGGCGAAGAAAGAGATCATCGATGTCTTGCCTCGTAACATCGCCCTGCAGATAGCAAAGCATGTCTTCAAGTTTGCGATTGACGATTCTTCCATCTTCATGGAGCTTTCCCAGCGATCACTCGAGGAGCTCTACTTTGAACTTCAGTGCTTTCACGTGGAGCAGGGTCAGAGCATTCTGACCTGCGGAGACATGAGCAAGAGCATCGTCTTTCTGATTGAAGGCGTCGGGTCCGTCAAGTCAAGCCCATCCCTCTTCGATGCTGCCATGAAGAAGCGGAAGCTCAGCATGACGGACCTCGCGGCTGATCACGTGGAAACTTACCTCACTGTCCGCCCCTGTTACTTTCTTGGTGAAAACTGCCTGCTGACAGGCAAGGAGATTTTTCCTTACGAGTGCACAGCAGCCACTTGGTGTCAACTGCTTCGACTGGAAGTGAAGAGCCTCCTCAACATCCTCTCTTCCGACGAGTTGTCTTATGTGAGAGCAGCAGCTAAAGTGCGATACTCGCGGTTCCTTGCGCTGATCACGACCTCCATGTCTATCAAAGAGAGTTCAAAGAAAGGAGTCAAAATCACTCGCTCCAAGAAGCGACAACAAGACTCTCAACTTAGCAGGTTTGCAAGACGCGTGTCATTCAGATCCGATGGTCAAAGACCGAGTACAGAAGAGGATTCAAGCGAAAAGACCATGACAGCCATCTTTAATGAGACAAAGAATATAGATCAAACTACATTGATCGACATCAAGAAGTTCTACACGTCGGCAAGTATAAAGAAGCAAGAGATGGTTTGGGGCGAATTGCTGGAATATCACAACATGAAAGGCAGAATTGATGAAGAGCTCCATCACGAGCGATCTTTAGCCAAGTACAACCTAGTGGAACTCCAATACAAATATCTGGAGCACCTGAGCTATGCCGCTGATCGCTTCGTGGACAAAGATTGGCTGACGGACAAGGTGAGAGATCGTCTCTCGCATGCCTGCTGACTTGTTGCAGCTGCAATTCCACATGGAGGCATTTCTAATCAGATTGAACATTATCCAAGAGAAGCTGACGCTCTTCCGCGAGCAGTAAGTGCCGTACAGTCTCCTGCGCCTCTGACTGGACGCACCAGATTGACTTCGCACAATGTCAAACAGACAACAGATTCAAGAAGGAGCCTAGAAACTAATGGAGAGCACAAGGGTGAAGAGACGAGTGCGTTTGAAAGGGAGTGAATGTTTAGAACCGAGAAAATGTCATGTCAAGTGCTGTTGCTCAAATGATTTCCCAACTTGTTGTCCCTCACCACCTTGACCAACAAGTATCAAGCGCGGCTTCGCAGCATGTCAAGGTACCAGCAACCGGGTACTGCTGATGTAGCGCTGCCAGAGACTCCAGATAACCCAGCACGACTAGACCGACCTGAGCCAAGAGATTGAATCAACGAGTCAACCACACGTCTCTCCCTCACCTCCTCCAGAGTCCCCGAAGTCACTGAGATGACATGATTCCATCGTATCACAGACCCATCAGCACTGCAAACTCTCAACCACCTGAAGCTCATGGCAAACAAGATGATGACACCTTTTGCCAGTTGGAGGGTTGAAACCATGAATCAAACACGCCAAGTGAATGCACACAGCTGCAATAACATGCGATTCATGCTTCAGACAGAGAGGAAGGTCGAAGGTTTCAATCAAGATAGCATAAGCTGAAAAACATATCACGATAAAGAATTTGGTCCACAAATCAAACCTGTGCGAGCTACAGGTTGTGGTGCTGACAATGCCTTGAGGTAGTTGAGGAGGAAAGGAAAGGGAAGCGTAGGCTTCACGTTGAATCCGATGTTTCTCAGAATGTGCTGCTCATATGCAATGACGCTGAGGTGAAGGAGCATCAAGCAACCGTGTTAGAGAGCAAGGGGCTGACCCGTCTCTGATCTTCCAGAAAGATTCATCGATCTCCAGCGTCTTCGCTTCCTATAGCAACATCACCACACAGGGAAGGAGGACAGGAGAGGGAGGGAGGAGGGAGGAGGGAGAGGGAGGGAGGGAGGGAGGACAGGAGAGGGAGGGAGGGAGGGAGGACAGGAGAGGGAGGGAGGGAGGGAGGACAGGAGAGGGAGGGAGGGAGGGAGGGAGGGAGGACTGGATTTGAGATCAAAGCAGGGAAGGGCAGGGAGATGGAGAGGAGGTCTATGTGGATACTTGGCCGGAGAGTTGAAACATGACATTGATCACGTCTCTGACCTAACACCACAGCACCCACAAGGAGGTATCATGTTTCCACTCCCACTAGTCCGCTTGCAGACCTTCCGAGAAACTTCATTGGCCTACGACAACAAGTGAGACGAGCATCGATGCCGTTGCTGGTGTGACCTTGGATGCTATGAGCACACAAGCCGCACACTCGAGTCGCCAGTTCTCTACTGCGCATTCCTGGCGAGCAAGAGGGTGATCTTGTGAGCGAGGGGTGAAGGAGTTACCACTGGCTTGAGCAGCTTGAGATGATCCTGGCTCGCCATCTCTTGATGCTTCGCACTGAGGTCTCGTCAGCCGGGCAGGAGCGCTACAGCCTCACCTTGCGCTCATGTAGGCGTGAAAGAGCGTCAAGCATGCGCAGGTAGCTGTCATGGGCATCTCGAGGTCCCTGGCAGCATCTGAGCGGCAGCGCATGCTGTTCGACTCACCGGCAGACAGCTCGCATGAACTCACAGGCGCGTCTGAGCTGAAGCGGAGAGCCTGAACCTTTGGCTCACTGGAGAAGGGCGGATGAGAGCGCTCACCCATCCTTGAGTTGCTGGTGCTGTTGATGCTCCTGTTGCTCATCCAAACCCCCCCCTTCGGTCTTGGAACAAGGTAAGAGCTCACTGCGCCTGAAGAGGATCACGCTCACAGCTCCTGCTCCTGCTCCTGCTCCTGCTCCTGCTCCTGCTCCTGCTCCTGCTCCTGCTCCTGCTCCTGCTCCTGCTCCTGCTCCTGCTCCTGCTCCTGCTCCTGCTCCTGCTCCTGCTCCTGCTCCTGCTCCTGCTCCTGCTCCTGCTCCTGCTCCTGTGCACTCTAGTTGAGTACCCTACCCGAGAATTTCCAATGATGAGGACTGAGTGGTGGGGTACCCGTCTCAGCAATGGTGTTGCGCGGCGCATGCCAGGCGTCGATGGCGGCGATCTTGTGGACGTGCAGCAAGGCCGTCGGGTCAGAAGCGACAGCGCGAGCATTGAGACCTGAGATGGTGCGGAGGTTGTCAGGGTTAGCGGGACATGCTTGCAGGGATCACGCGCTTGTTGGGGTGAGGGGAATGCGAGGGGGAACGGATCATCACAGACGGGACTTGGACAAGAGCGCTGAGAACAAAACACTCTTACAGAGCGATCATGTTGAGAGGATGATGACAGTGAAACGCAAAAAGTTTAACGGACCAAACAATGTGCTCTGCAAGACTTGTTGGCTTGCTATGAAGGACTGTATCTGCTCGCATGTCAGGGAGAGGTTCAAGTGGGATCGATCTTTTATTCATAGGATTTTCTTCTACATGCACTCAAAGGAGTTCGGTCGGTGCTCCAATACTGCTTGTCTCGCTCAAGTCCCTTTTCCTTTCCCTCAGTGCGACATCTTCATCGCCGAGCTCCCTGAGGTCAGTCAGTTCACAACCCGACTTGACGGGGTTGACCGAGTGACGCAGGACGAGGAGCGTTTGAGGCGCGAGATATCGCAAGCACCCGAGAGCTTCTTGATCTTGTACCCCTCAGAGAATAGCGTCACCTTCTCTCGTCTCGTCCGCTCCTCTGCCAACGACCATGGCTCTCTTGCTGCTGCCATGCAAAAGCCGCGCACGGTCATAGTGGTGGACGGCACGTGGAGACAGACGAGGCGGCTGATCAAGAAGCTACCGTCGGACATTCCTCGCATCAGGTCTCAGTGCCGATGCTCCAGTGGCTGACTGACTCTCTCTGCCAGGTTGGAACAAGACGTCGAGCTAGATCAGTTGTATAACAGCCCGTTGAGAGCTCAACCTTCGGAGAGGTCTGTTCACCCTCCCTTCCTCTCTCTGCTCTCCTCCTGCCCTCTTCTGCCCCTCCCTCCTCCCCTTGCTCACTTTCGGTCATTCTCGATGACGTGCTACATCAGCCGCATGTGCACGCTGACGTCAGTAGCGCTGATGGTGCGAGAGCTGGGAGGCAGCGAGGAGCTGTTCAGAGGCATGCTGCAGCTGCTGCATGTCAAGACGGAGGTGAGGACGTGACATATCGCCGCGAGCGCTGAGGGACTTGCAGACGTTTCTCCGCACCAGCAGCAAGGAGTGGAAAGTGAAGGACAAGGGTGAAGTAGATGTTTGACTTTAAGCTGCTGAAAGACAACATCACATCTAATACGCAGAGAGTACTATACGTAGCTCATGTATGAGAGTAGTTGCTCATGTATGAGAGTACTAGTCTAGTTGCTCATGTATGAGAGTACTAGTCTAGTTGCTCATGTATGAGAGTACTAGTCTAGTTGCTCATGTATGAGAGTACTAGTCTAGTTGCTCATGTATGAGAGTACTAGTCTAGTTGCTCATGTATGAGAGTACTAGTCTAGTTGCTCATGTATGAGAGTACTAGTCTAGTTGCTCATGTATGAGAGTACTAGTCTAGTTGCTCATGTATGAGAGTACTAGTCTAGTTGCTCATGTATGAGAGTACTAGTCTAGTTGCTCATGTATGAGAGTACTAGTCTAGTTGCTCATGTATGAGAGTACTAGTCTAGTTGCTCATGTATGAGAGTACTAGTCTAGTTGCTCATGTATGAGAGTACTAGTCTTAGTCTAGTTGCTCTCCTACTTGTCATGTCTGACTGATGTTTCACTTGAGGCTAAAAGTTCTTGTTGGCTCCAAAGCTCCGGAGGCCGATCTTAGCTGTACCCACCCACCCTACCCTGTTTCTGATGTACCCCCGAAGCCCCTGAATACTACCCACCCATGTCATAGCTGGTGTGTCCAATTGACTATTACCACCCATTCCAAAGAATACTGAATCCGTCCGACCCCACCCCTGTTTGTAACCTCGAAATAACCGGTGGTCTCACCTCGTGCTGTCCGGGCACAGCGACATGGCGGGGTTGGCGCTGATGACTAGCGCCATGACGTTGATGTCGCTGCTCGCCATGCAGAGATCCGCAAGCCTGATCCCCCCTCATCGACCTGCTTTCATGCCTGCCCACCCCTTCTCCCGCCCCTTCTCTGCTATCCATCCCTCAGAAGGCTATTGTCGGCCCCCCTCGGCACCGGAAGGAGAGGGTTGTGGAAGGCAGGGTCTGGTGTCAGGTGCGCAACCTATCAAGGGTTTCTAGCTTCTCATATCATGAATGTACAGCACAAGCTGTGCCCCGGATAGTGCTGAGAGGAGGTGAAGGTCAAGCAGAGGCGACGGACGAGATGGACGAGGTGAGTGTCGGTTCTTGCCCCCTGCTCGCCAGATAGTCAAGTGATTCACAGAAACAAGCCCTCGAGGAGTTTGTAGAAAATGAGGATGCTGTCTTGAATATCTTGAAGCAAGCTTCCGATTTGAAGGACGAAGGAAACAGAGCATTCCAAACCAACGTGGTGGCTGCCATGGAACTATACACATCTGCGTATCTTCTCACACGTATAGATATGATTGAATCTTGCATGAAACGTCGATGGCTGACGATAGTTTACAATAGAAAATGTTCGGAACGAGAAGTTTACCAAGGAGATCATGAAGATACAGATTGCTTGTCTGACAAACAAGGCTCTGGCTGCGTTACAGCTGGAGAAGTACAAAGAGGCCTTTGCGTGCTGTTCTCTCGCTCTTGAGATGGAGCCGACCAACTTCAAAGCGCTCTACCGGAGAGCGTTCGCATGGAGGGGCTTGGGGAGCTTGCAGGATGCTCGAGATGACCTTGTGAGTGCCTTGCAGGTGCAGCCGTCGAACGAAGACGCGAGCTCAGCGTTGCAAGCCATCACAGCGGAGATGGAGCAGCAAGAGTCATCGATGAACGTCAACGCGGCGAACTCAGAGAATGTAAACATGGAAGGGGGGCAGGAGGAGGAGAACCTGTCGACCTCAAGCCTCTGTTCCTCCATCTCTTCTGCACGAAAGATCAAGCACAAGATCGCTGGGCTGCGAAACGAGGGAGCAACGTGCTACCTGAATGCTGTCCTTCAGACCTTGTTTCACCTCCCAGCTCTGCGGAAGGCCGTGTACCGCATCCCCACAGTTGAGCCGCAAGGCGGCGACCTGCCCTCAGTCTCTCTGGCACTGCAGCGACTCTTTTGGAACCTCCAGAAATCCCCTGCCCCTCAGTCTACGACCGAGCTGCTTGTGAGCTTCGGTTGGGACAGTGCAGACTCGCTGATGCAGCAAGATATCAGCGACTTCTGCCACATGCTGTTTGACATCGTGGAGGAAGGAATGAAGAACTCGACCGTTGAAGGAGAAATCACCAAGTTGCTAGGAGTCAAAGTTCAGTACACTGATAGTGTGGAGTCAGTCGGTTGGAGCAAGCAAAGAGAAGACGTGAGCATGGTCACTCTCTTACATGGCATCAGGGAGAGCAGAAACGTCCTCAAGTCCCTTGAGCTTCTCACCAAACCTGAGATCATCGAGGGGTACGACACTGAAGTGCATGGGAAGCAAACTGTTCATCGTACCTTGCGGTTCAAAGAGCTCCCTCCGATCCTGCTGCTCAACATCAATCGAATCGAGTTCTGTCCTATCGCCTTCGAGCCCATCAAGATCAACGACAGGTTCGAGTTCCCAGCCGAGCTCGACATGTCGCAGTTCACCGTGAAGGAGGAAGGGACCGAGAGCAGCTGCGCCATCTACAGTCTTTGCAGTGTGATCGTGCACATGGGGAGCGCGAACATGGGACACTACGTCGCCTACTGCAGGCCAGCAGGAGAGCAGGGGAAGTGGTTTTGCTTCGACGATGATCACGTCACAGAGGTAGCTGAGGATGAAGCTATCGAGAACAACTTCGGCAACGACAACTCGCCTTCTCTTCCTGCCGGCGGGATCTACATGCGATCAGTCTTGCAGAAGATGCGATCCGCCTACATGCTCTGCTACATTCGAACCGACTGCTTCGATCAAGTGATGAACACGACGGGGCTGGAGGAGGAGGTGCCACAGCACGTGAAGGAGGGAACTGCTGCAGCCGTGGGTTTCTCTCTCCCTATCTCCATCACGGTGCTGACTCCTGACGGAGAGTTCAGTCGGTTTGGAGAGGAAGAGGAAGATGCTGGGGAGGAGGAGCTGGAGACGATTGAAGGAGGCGATGTGCCAGTCAACGATACGTTGGCGGGGGAGAGGAGAAGGAGAGTTGTGCGAGGGCAGCCGATCAATTTGACCATCAGCTCACCGGAGAGCAAGACCGTCGCTCACATTCTCAACGATATGGTTCTCGCTGCGGACTCAAGCGGCAACCCCATCCAGCCACCTAGCGTCCAAGAGTTTCTTGGAGGAGAAGTAGAGCAGGTGAGCAAGGTCCGTTGCTCGAGGGTCGCGACCTCACCCGCAGACAGGTTCCTCTGGCAGCCGATGCCAACGCCATGGCAGACGAGGGGAAGGAGGGAGAGGCCAGGAAAAATTCGTCGGAGATAGCTCCTCTCGAAGCTCCGAGCTTGAAGCTCTGCTTGACGTCTGTGCGAAATCACATGATCCAGTGCATCTACCCGGAGGAGGAGCGAGCATCTGAAGGTCTGATAACGTTTTCCTCTTCTCGCCACCTCCTCTTCCTCTCGACTTCCTTCAACCCCCTTCCTGTCTCCTGCTCTCTTTCCCCTGTACCTTTCCCTTCCAGTCTCAATCCTTTCTCACCTGCATTCCAGTTGATGTCTCATTCCTCTTGCGAGCCGAGTGGTACGACGATCAGGTAAAGATGGAGAGAGAGGAGAGAAGGAGAAAGGCTGGCGGGGAGGTGAAGGGAGAGGGGGAAGGAGAGGGTGAGGGGGAGGGTGAGGGAGGCACCTTGAGGGAAGAGAATCATGGTTCTCCTTCAGCCGCAGGCAAACAAGGTGCATGTCATGCACTTCGAAGTAGATCCCTCGAGTGAAGGAGACGCGGAGCTGATGGGAGCGACTCGGCGAGTGGTTGAGAAGGCGGCAGCTGGAGGCGAGTTGGCGTACAGGCGGTTCGGCGACCCCTGTGTCTTCACCTTGTACCAGCAGGAGACGGTCTCACTCCCCAGCTGCTCCCTCCAGCTGATCAGGTTGGCAGGTGCGATCGGCGAGGAGGAGAATCGCGTCCCTCCTGCGGCTGCCGGACGAAAACTTCGAGATCGCGTGGGTCACGTGAGAAGCTGCTGGCCCTCTTGCTGGCATCGCTTAACATGTGCGGCAGGTGGGGAAGAGACCCTGTATTCATGATCAACGAGGACGATCCGATCTTGGTGAGACCCTCCCTGCTCTCCCTGGCTGCTCTCTCTGGTAGTGGCGTGATTGCCCTCGCTCACTCTCTCTCAGCCTGACGAGCGTATCCTGGCTCAACACTGGCTCGGTGTGCTGCACCGGGACGGGGGCGAAGGACCCGAAGCTCAAGACTTCTGGGCAGGTTTGTGGGGTCACGTTGAGCATGAGAGGAGCTGACGCGAGGACGCAGCGACTGCCAGTCTGGTGCAGGGAGGGAAGACGACGCAGGCAGGCGTGAAGATGCGGGCGGGATAGGAGGGCGTGTGGCAGCCAGCGGTCTGGTGTAACAAGATGTGCAATAATGGCAGGAGGCTGGGTGTGTCTTGGATGGAGGGAGAGGAGGAGGAGAATATGTAAGATGAAGAAGCTGTGAATAGAAGTCAAGTACCAAGCCTCGAGTCTCCTCCCTCTCTCAAGTCTCAATCCCACGGCTGCTCCTTGAAGTTCCTCCCCGTCGCTGGACAAACATTTGGATCTGTCTTCTCGCCCAGCAGCACCACCACCTGCCCCAACTCTGTCATCACCTTCTCCTTACAATCTCTTTCCCTCCTCCCCTACATTGTTAGGGTAGACCATGAACGCGCTCGTCCCGATGCGCTTCTGACTCGCTTTGCATCGCTTGCCGCTGCTGATCTGCTGCGACGTCAGCTCCCTTCCTCGCTCCTCGTCTCTCTCACCACCACTCGCCGCGCTCGTCGTTCAAGGCATTCCTCCGCTACCTTGAGATGATCTGCCTTGAGCAACGCCTGCGCGATCTGCAGGCTCTTCCTCTGCTCGCTGTTGGCGCGCACGACGCTCTCAAAGAAGGGCGTCAGCGATCGCAGCGACGTCTCTGCCGGCAGAATGTCGAGCGCCTTTGCCGGGTCCATCCGCTCGAAGTGGCGCGACATGAGGGAGAGCGCCTGCATGGTCATGGGGGCTGAGGCGTCGGGGGGCTTGAGGAACACCTTGAGCAGGTCGATGTACACATCCCTCCCTCCTCCCCCTCCTTCTGTCGCTGAGCTGTAGTGCCTCATGCAGTACTCCTGCGCGAGCTGCATGTCCCCCAGCCTATGCGCGTAGATGCTGAGCGCCTCCTCGTGCCTGCCGAGCTTGGAGAGGATGAGAGCGCGCTCCTCGTAGAGGTCCACCATCGGCAGCTTCGACAGCAACTTCTGCGCATCGTAATGCCGCGAAGTCTCAAGGAGGTCCAGCAGATTCTTCCTCCTCGCTCCCAGCGCCCCTGGCTCCTTCCCAGCCCCACAACGGGACCCCGCAAGCCCCTGGGCTGCCTGCCTGGAGGTGAAGGCGTGCTTGAGCCGCTGCACAGCATCGAGGTAGAGGAGCGCGAGCTCGTTGTGGTACTGCGATCGCTCTTCTCCCTGTGCGATGATGTGCTCAAGGAAGCGAATGCGAAGCTCTCCTCCCCCTCCGTCGCTTCTGCTCTTGTCGTGCATGACCTCCTCATCGAACACCTTGAGATGCGACAGCACAGTGTCGATCGGCATCTTCCTCCCAATCTTCGACTTGATGAAGATTTCCAGCCCCTGCTCGGGGTCAGCTCGCAAAACCCACCGGCTGAACTCCAGCAGGATCGGCAGCTTGTCTTCCTCCAGGCTCTGCAGGTACTCCACGGTAGGGAAGACGCCGTGAAGAGGATGCTCCTCCTGAGGCCCCTGGCCATGCTCCGCTAGCAGCTCCAGCGCCCTGCGGTGCTCCTGGTGGCTGTGAAAGAGCGCGACGAGCTCGTGGAACATATCGTAGTCCCGCAGCAGCCTCTCGCTCTCCTCTAGCCTGCAGGCGTTGAGCCCCTGCAGGAAGCCCAGCACATTCTCCGGCTCTGCTCGCACCAGAGCCTTCAAGAGCGCCGTGTCTATTGCTTCCAAGAGGGCAGGAGAAGGATCAGAGGGCGGGGAGGAGGAGGGGAGGGATCGTTTTCTGACATTCTTGAGGTACTTGATGAGAGATACTTGTGACCTCAGCAGCTTGTGGCCCTTGAGCGAATCTTTCACCTCCTGCGAGCACGTGCGAAAGTCTTGGGCAGCATCGAAGCCGTCGGAGAGCTCAGGGAAGAGAAAGAGAACATTCCGCGGGTCCAACGAGTCACATCGCAAGAACAAACCCATGGCCTTGTCATACTCCGACCTGCAAGGCTTCATCATCATCTCCTTCATCATCATTATCGTCTTTTTCTTTGACATGATCAACACTTGTGAAACATGTCATCACATTCTCCTCTACCTTCTATTCCATCACCGTCACCACCACCACCACCACCTCCTCCTCCTCCTCCTCTTCCAGTATCTTTACCTTGCAAACAACATCAGGCCGTACGACCGATACACTGCGTTGCATTTGCTCGCCACGTTGGGATCTGTCTGGTGACAGAGGTCGCACAGAGCCAGACAAGTCTCGAGCTGCTGGCTCTCTAGAAGCGCATCAATCTGCATGTCATACATTCAGTTTACCCCCCCCCCCCCCCCCCCCCGCCCCTTTCTCCTCTCCAACTTCCGTCTCCCTTGCACTATTACACAACTCTTGTTGTCAGCTCACCTGACGAGACATGGTGACAGGTCGGAGGCGATAAACGCAGTTGTTAGCAACCACGAAGACAGACATGCTGGCATTGCAGGCAAGCATGTGGCTCGCTCGCAGGGACAAGGTCTGCACAGTCGTCTGCGTTTCCATCAGCTGAACCTCAACACTCTTAGGAAGCGCTGCGATGAGGTAAGGAAAGAGATATCCGATCATTGTGGGAGGCTCCGGCCACTTGAGACCATACTTGCGGGATGGCCTTCCCTGTGAGTCTTGGAACACGTTCATGTTGTCTCGTCCTAGCAGCAGCTCCTTGTTGTTGGGCAGGCAGAAGATGGTGGGGGAGGCTGTGTTTGAGTCGAACAGCTCTTTCTCTGTTCCTGAGCTCAGCGACACTATCACGTACTTCCTTCCTGAGGCAACACAGAGGAAGTCACCACACCAGGCATGGCATCTGATCGCATCCGCAAACTTGATTTCCCGCCAGTCTACAAAGCCATCACCATCCCACCGGAATAGAGCAAGCCTGTTCTTCATCGCGCAACATAGCAACGAACGGGTCGGATCGTACAGCAATGAGAAGTTCGAAGTTCCCCTGGTCTTCAGTAGCTGAGCCTTCAGGTCTAACGTGCGCAGATCGTTCACTTGTACCGTATCCGCCGTAAGGATGAGAATCAAGCCGAGCTCCACTGAAACCTTGAGCTGAGAAATGCTCGACTTGGTTACCCTTCTCACTTCGATCTCTTCGAACTCAACAAGATGTCCACCTTCTTGCTCCTGCAGAATCACAACAATGCCTTCCTCTGTCCCAACAATCAATTTCTTGCCCCAGGAATCAAGCGCTGTGATCTTATAGTTGCTCTTTTTGAGGACAGGTTCGATATGAAACGCGCTATGTACCATGGCACTCCACGGCTAATAATGTAGAACAGCAGAAGCTTCTGATTTGTAGAAAGGAACACAAAAAGAGCTCACGTTGATGTTGTTAGTTGAACTGCTGGAAGAATGTACCCTTCTAAGATTCGCTCAGTGCGTGTCAATGTTTCATACCGTTGGATCAGGACCAGTCAGTTTGTCTCCTCGTCTGTCTTGATACATTGAAAACTCAAAGAGACCTGGCTTCCGATCAAGCGCGCTCAGATAGCCTCACTCCTCCTCTCCTCGCCCATATCCTCTGCTCTGCTCTGCTCTCCTCTCTTGGCATCGTTCCCTCGCCTCCGTCTTTGATGAGTAGCGTCATGCAGGATCCGGTTTCGACTTGCGAGTTGGTGAACCACAACTTTGAATTCTATACTAAAATTTCAAATTATTATGTACATTTTAAAACTATAGCCTTTCAGGAGTCGGGCTTGCCGCAGGCCACAACCCGGGCGGCCGCGTCACTCGGACCCGGACGGTCGGACCCGGCCTCGGACTCGCCGGCCCGGCGGGACACTGAGCCGCTTCCGATAGATGAGAGTTGTGATGTGAGGAAGTTTATTCAATGATTATCTTGACTACCGGCGACAAGCAAACGCCGGTGCTAATCGTTAAAAGTGAAAAAATTACAAACATGATCCATTTGTTCAGAGTACAACAAACTGAAGTAAGGCAGTGCAGTGCGATTGGGTTCAGTTGCACATCCAACACGAGATTCTATCATCCAACTTTCGCTCTGCCTGATGCACTAGAGCTTGATAGCGCTGAGACAGTTGCCCGGCCACTATCAAGCATCGAACATGAAACCGAGATATCAGACAACCCCGAAATGTTTCGCTCCAAGCTTGGGCCAACCGACGGGCTCTGGCCCAAAAGGGCATCAAGGTCCAATGTTTGACTGTCAAGGCGCCCTTCAATCTGCCAACACTTGTCAGTCCAAAATGCGTCTGTAAGCGTAAACTTACGCTCGGAGGCTCGTCTAAAGATTCCAGGATTCCAGATCCGTGAGCAGGGTCGTTGTTCGTTGGTTCGGCTTTGATTGACACTGTGTTGTCTGGATGAGCATTTTCATCGATCTCTTCGTATTTGTTCGAGCTTAAACATCCATCGTGGTCCACCCCTGGGCTGTAAAGCATCATGGAGTCCAAGCGGTCAGCCTTGATGGTCAAAGAATCTGTTCCGAGTGGAGTTCCAGCAGACAAAAGCTTGTCCAGGCTTCCAGAGGAGGCCATATGGTGACTTGAACTGGAACCCTCCTCATGCAAAGAAGTGTTGCTGACAACATCGTCGACCAACTTGTCGGGATCTTCAATTGGTTCTACAGGCAGGGGACTGTAAACGAAGTTGGGATAAGAGACAATTTAAACAAGCCTTCAAATTACGTACCCGTCCTCGATCTCCAAGAGCGTAGGTTTTTCATGTCTTGATGATTGTAAATTCGTAATTCTCAAGGTGTCTCTCCCTGTCGTTGCACTCTATCCCAAAATATCAATACAAGTGGTTCCAAGTTCATTCAACATACCTGTTTGGATACTGAAGCCATTAGCGACTCAAGCCATTCATCAGTCTGAGAATAGTCGTTGGGTCTTGGCAGCGTTGGGCTGGTTTCGTTTGCAGCTTTGTTGTCCACCTTGAGAGGCAGCATTCAAAACAAACGCATGCATTCCTTCACAGTCTTATCACCATCAATCTTGCTCGCTTGAAACGCATAGGATTCTCAGATCCATCCAGTATTTGTTGCATGGATTTGTCGTTATCGATGGAGGCGATCCCGATAGATTGACAAGCCTTCATGAGAACCTCAAGCATTTTGGTGAGCCTTTGTTCCAGAACCTATCTTGAAAGTCAAGAGCCATGATGCACTTTCTACGAAGCTCACCTCTTGTCTCTGCTTGCTCTGCATCATTTCAGTAAAGATAAGCTGTTTTTCAGCTTCTTTTTGCTGCAATGCAGCCTCAAGTTCCTTGTGTTTCGCCCTGAGGCATATTTCAAAAACAATTTCACAGACTTGACCTAAGGCTCACTTCAAATCTTGAAATTCAGCCATCAGCCTGTCAGTCTCGCATTTTTGCCGAATAGGATCCTTTTCGAATCCGGGTCCACTGGCTACTTTCCTCTTAATATCCTTGAACAAATGTTCATTGCCTTTCCTTGTGGTAGATTATGAGTGACAATAATTCGGGGGGAAAGAAAGTACCTGAACATAGGATGCGCAAATTCACACGTTTCTGATTCTTGGGAAGTTTTGTGGAACCCATAAAGATTCAACTGGCGTACAAAAGACGCGAAGTTGCTATGTTTGAAATATCTAACAGACATCTTTCAGGTTCCATTCAAGATCGTTAGGAAAAATCATACCTTGGGAGCACCTGTGTTGCAAACAAAGAGGGATTGATGACAATAATGCTGTCTCCGGTGCTCGACCACGCCACATATGGTGCTGCGGTCTGGTCATCGAGCATCATGGCCAACTTGCCAATGAACGAGGGAACATTCTGCTTGCTATCGTCCATGCTCATAAAATCGTTGCAACCTTTCTTGTTGTTGATTTGCGATCCGCCTTCTTCGAGTCCAATATGTTCAATCCAAGCCAATTGACCTTCAGCGTTTGTATTCAATTCTTCAAATGATAGCTAAAAGCAAAGGAAAAGTCAGAACAGAACTGGCTGGGGTCTAAGAATTGATCAAAGCATAAATTGACACAGCAGCAGGCAGCAGATCAGGGATTTTATGTCAAAAGACGGCAAATCATGGAGACAGAGAAACACAAAGACTGCCAGAATATCGCGAGGGGAACATACGCCAACACAGGTAGCACGAGATAACTTTAAATGGGAATATGGTGGGTGTGCTCGTTAGGCCATAGTTGGGCACGAGATCTTCAGCAGAGGCTAAAGTCGAGAGACTAGAGGAGGTAGAACAGTTGATGCAGTCCCTCAGTTTGAAAGAGGATGAGGGTATGGCTTTTTCTGCATGAAGGATAATTCCCCTGATCATCATAAGTGATGTATCGGGAGAGACCAAAGAATTGTTGCAAAAGTCGTATGTTTCATGTAAGAATTGTGCGTGATATTAGATAGAAAGTAGATAGAAACGAGACAGACCGAATGCAAGGAAGTTTTCACAAAACAAAGCTTTAGCAGTCTCGGCTGAATATCAAGCTGGTTAACACATCCTTCAGTGCTCAAGAGGACAGAAGACAACAATGAATGCGATGAAAGGAGACAGGTGGAGACAGCAGCAGCAGCAGCAGCAGCAGGAAGCAACATGGTTGCGGTGTTGGCGGTGAGAAGGAGCAACGAAAGGAGGCGATGAGCGGTTGGTCAGCTTGGCGCCGCCATACTTTGTGGCCGAGGGTCGTGCGAGGCGGTCATAGGAGCCCTAGGAGAGTCTAGGAGCACCACATATAGCGTTATATGAACAGTACTAAATGTGGTCGAATATCTTTATATGTACTGGTTCAGTACTGAGACAACCAGTATCATTCCTCTCACTGTTTGTATTTTAAAATATTTTCTTTACAAAATCTACAAATGCAGGAGCAATCGGTATTGCATGAACAAATTTTGTAAAGAGGTTTATTTAAATTTAAAAATGTCATATAGAAGCTGCTGAAGTTTAATAATTCCTTAATAAAGTATGCCAGCAGGTGCTCGTACAAAAAATTTGGAGTGATTTGAAGAAAACCACGAGGGAGCGGCAGAGATCTGAGGTTCAAACTGATTGCCGTAACATTGAAAAGATTTATCTGTTCGCTCAACATATTTCCTTAGACCGTTTAAATTTTAGTCATTTTCGGTAAAATGTTCATCAAGGTTCAAACTTGTTTTTAGAATCAAATTCTTATTTAAATGTATTTAAAAATACAAAGGGTTTTAGAAACCACTCCCTTTCTCGGTGTCTGCCATCTCTGTGCTCCCAGTTGTTATTCTGAGGTGAACTTGCTTCGCTCGGTCGGAGGAGGCGAACATGGGGTGGGGGGCGGGGTCGTGCCGTCCTCGTCTGCCTCCTCTGCCTCGTCTTGTCGCTCTGGCCATGTTGTTGATGAGCTGTCAAGCAGCTCCGATCGAACCTGATCAGATCATGATCTTGTTCCATGCTCCAGATAACATCATGAGATCTTTCGGAGAGGACTCGATGACTATCAATAGCCTGTACGCGCAGAGACACGGGTTTGCTTTCAAAGTCATCAAAGATGTAGTTGTTGAAGACAGAGATGTGACGTGGTCGAAAGTCAAGATCCTCGCGAGAGAGTTGTCACCCATTCTTGAAGGAGACGACAAGAGCAGGGTCAAGGTTCTGTTGTGGCTGGATAGCGATGCAGTCTTCACAAACTTCGACTTCGATCTGTTGTCTCTATGTCAGAAGTTCTTTGATTCAAGCTTTCATTTGGCGCTCTGTAAGGACCTCAGTATGCCACGAGACTCCGGCATCACCTGTGGTCCAGTGTGCTTCAGTACAGGATCCATTCTCCTTCGAAGGGATGGATGGACTGCACGATTCACGCAGAGTTGGTGGGATTCGGGAGGGGAGATGCAGCAGTTCCTCTTTGGGAGAGACCATGAAGAATCGGTATGAGTATGAAGTACTTCGATCGTGGGGGAGATTAAATTGATGGGCTCCAGGTGTTTGCCAAGTTGTATGAGAAAGATGCGATGGGGGTAAGTTGCATAGTGACGAGAGTGCATCTCACGAGCAAACTGAAGGTCAGAAACAAGACCATGGCTCTGAGGCCCACAGAGTTGAACTCTGTAGCTCCCTTTCATGAAGGCCATGAGCCTGCCCAACCGATCATGCATCTTGCCTCGGAGCCCAGAGAAGTCAGGGAGTCGGTATGGGTCAGGTCACCCCCTCGACTTCTGACTTGGCAGGGCAGGTCTTCAGCTATCTGCGAAGTCTTATTGCCAGCAGCTCTAACGGAACATTGTAACCGGACTTGTCAAAACCAAGACAGGTGGTAATCCTTTGTTTCCAGGATCCTCAACATTTCCCACGCACTGGATCAGAATCGACTAGATGTCCTCGTAAAGCAAGGATATGAGAAAGCGTGGGCGAACAGCCCTACTGATCCTCATGTTACCATTGCTCGTTGTCTCACGTTCTAGCTGCCTCATTGTGTGGTGTTTGAATAGGTTGCTACTGTCTTGGCGGCCAAGGAGCGTCAAGGAGGAATGAAGGAGAAAGCAAGAGAGTTGTTGCTCCAAGCGATGAAACTTGCACCGGGTGATCCAGATGCTGCGGTGATGCCTGGTAGTGCTTGTTGCCACGGGAAGGCTGACATCAGGCACGGCAGATCAACTACGGGAGTTTGCTTGGATCACAAGCTGAAGAAGGAAGCAATAAAGAACAAGACTGGTGTGAAGCCGCAAAAGTTTTCCTTCATGCTTCACAGCTGGTGTGCTGGGACTGAGGGAGGAGGCTAGTATGCTTACAGATTGACATTCTCAGGTCCCTTCTTCAAGGCAGGCAGGAATGCTCTTGAGAAATTCAAACCAACGCTGTGCAGAAGAGAGACAGGTATCCTGACCATTTTCATTCCAACAAAGTGAAAGGAAACAGAATCGGCTTTCAAGAACTCAAAGATTCAATGTTGGGCTCAAGGCATTGATGCTACTGATTTTGATTGCATCTATTGCCGTTATGTTTTATTGGAAAGGTAATGCTCACATACAGACCGATTTCAAGGACAAAAGGAACCAGGGTCTGAATATGAATAATAAGGGCAAAAAGGGGAGGTAGGAACGTGTACTTGGCAAGAATCAGAATCCGAAGAAATCTTTCATTAGATTGAGAAGTACATCGACAATCAAACTGCCTTCACCAAAAAACGTTTCGCTTAATCCCTCTCACTAATTGCGACAAGATGCCTTTCGATTTCTGCCTCATCCAACTGCCTGAACCTTCCCTTGTTGTCCTTGTTGACCACACCAACCTGGAAAGCATCAGTCAATAACTCAATGCTTGAATCAACAATCAGGATCATCCTGTCAGGATGCAACACACTTATCAAAGAGGCAGAGCGACTATGGTCACACTGAAAAAGAAAGAGGAAACGAAATCTCACCTCAATGTCTGAGCACTTGAAGTCAGCTGACAAGACAGATTGCAGTACTGTAATTGCCATCTGAATGGTCTCATCATATGAAAGCGTAGGGGAATTCTTCAACTTCTTTTCCAACATATTCTTGGCCTCAAGATCCTTTTGACCGGCTGCAACTGCTTTGTACCCCAAATAATGGCCCGCGGGATCGCACATGAACAGCTGAGGACCCTTCTCATCATCCATTCCACATAGCATCATCGTAACACCATATGGGCGCATACCAGCATGTTGCGTGTAGACTTGGTTCATGTCAGCAACTCGCTTTGCCAACACCTCGGGAGGCATGTCGTATCCATACTTGTATCTGAACTGCGCTGCTTCCTGGCGCACACGCTGAATTTGAGCACGAGCATCCGCTTGGTGTCCAGTCTGCACGCATCCTATAGTTTCTGTAACTCTGTACATGTGCGTGACTGACGAAGGATCCAACAGCTTATCCTGTGAGTGTCCTTGCGCAACTTTCTTCTGCGTAACAATGCAAACGCTATCTGCTCCCCGAACACCCACTGTGGTGATACCCGCTGCCTTCACTGCCTTGAAAGCATACTCTACAATCAAGGTTAGAAATAACAAAAATAAAATCAAGTCGTGGAGGATCGCAAAGCATCACAAAACGTGCTCAAAACATTTCAATCTTTCGGTATCAGTTCAATTTAGGAGCACCACCAACAGATTCAGCGGTACTGTTCACCAAACACACATGGAATGGTGTTGAAAAATGCATCCAAGCATAAAGAACCGAAGACATGACATGACAAGGCAAGGTGAAGCAAGACAAGAGCAGAAAGGAACAAAGCGTCTCGTGCGATTAGCTTGCTGCTCACCAATCTGGTAGAGTCTTCCTTCAGGCGAGAAGACAGTGATGAGCCTGTCATACCCCGACGAGCTGTTCCGCGACATTATCCCGCGACACCTGTCCTGGCACCTCAAGCGTAACGGTTCATGTTAAAATATAACTGTAATCACTACCGTGATTATCGTGACCGTAAGGCGGCCCGGCCCGGGCATCTCGGCCGGCCCGGCCGGGCCGGGTCCGACGCTCCGAGTCGGATCGGACTGCCTCAGGCTGGTAAGCGAGTCGCGGCGCGGGCGGCCCCTCGGGCAGTTACTTTGTCACTCCGACTGTCATGCATGATCCTCATGTCTGGATGCTTCAAGTGGGTTTCACATCCGACAGGCTACCGCACCCGGTCACGAGTCGTGACGGTGTGCGGCTGAGCCCGGGACGGGCCGGCCCGCCAGTGTCGCCGGAGCCGGGCAGCCTGGGCCGCTGACGGCGTCTCTAGGCTGCCCCGGCCCGGAAAGAAATCCTCGCGCTGTTGGCTGCCGCTACTCCTCGCCTCCACTTGTTGTTCTCCTCTACAACTCCCGCCCTGTTGGCTGCCGTTGACCACCCCCTACCCCCTTGTGAGCCTTGTGTCTCAGGTAGATTTGAATTACTACCCCGGCTCTTTCCACAAAGACAGTATCAACGATCGGGGTTAGGGGTAGGGTGATGTACCCATACCTCCAGCCCCCGAACTGCCTATAAAAACCATGCTGTGGTGAGCTAACGATCATCAAACATGTCCGGAAAGGCAGGCAAAGGAGCTGCAGGAAGAGGAAAGTCCAAGGGAGGCAAGTCCGTCTCCCGCTCCAAGAAGGCAGGACTTCAGTTTCCTGTTGGTCGTGTGCACAGGTACCTCAAGAACGGCAAGTATGCTACCAGAGTCGGTGCGGGAGCTCCCGTGTACCTTGCTGCCGTGTTGGAGTACCTCTCTGCTGAGGTCCTCGAGTTGGCCGGCAATGCCGCCCGTGACAACAAGAAGTCTCGCATCATTCCCAGGCACGTTCAGCTTGCTGTCAGGAACGACGAGGAGCTCAACAAGCTTTTGGGAGGAGTGACCATTGCCAGTGGTGGTGTTCTTCCTAACATCCATTCTGTTCTCCTGCCCAAGAAGAGCAAGAGTGCTGAGAAGAAGTCTGATTAGAACGCTGATGCTTTCTTATTCTGCTCCTAGGCAGACAAATCAAAATCACTAGAATGTAAAATAAGATCTGTAATGAAAAGAGAACCTTGGATTCATCTCCTTCTTGCCGCTCTTTACTTCATGTCTCACTGGATTCACATGCTAAGTGTGAAACCGAGATCTAGAGATGGTCCTGGCCTCATGGTTGGTGATCGATTTTTTGATGTGAAGCAGTTCCCAAATAGGAGATAGGTCTTGACTCTCGGCAAATATGGTTCAATTTCAAGTCAAAAGACAACCAGCGGAGAACCATAGAATGCAAGCCGAGCATTGGCTTACCACATGTAACATTCAGCCAGGCAGAAGATTGCTCGGCAACGTGTCATACGATTCGATACAACTGGAGCTGTCTTGATATCCATGCCATAATGTCTCACAGGCTGTGGCACGCAGTTCGAACACAGCAGAGTGCAGCTTGTCATTTGATGACTAGGAGGTGCTGTAGTTGGCAGTAGCAACATGTCAACTAAAGGCAGTAGCAATATGTCTACCACAACAGTGTCATCACTTGATCCAACCATTACTCTTCATTACTGTGGGTTGGCAGTGATAGGAGGTTCAGCTCTAGTCTATGCAACCTCGATTAGGTATGCTGATTGTTCCTCCAGTACAAGATAAATCTGACGTTGAAGGTCATACTGCGCTAACTAGCATGCCGACCGTCGCTTGTAGTCAGTCACTGGTAGTCAGTCCTCGGGACGTGAGCGTAGGAGTTGGGGCAGCCGCATGGTGATTGGATCGAAAGTGATACCGCGGCGTGATTGTGACCGCTGATCTACATCTGAGGCTTCAAAAGGCGATTTCCCTGAGGAAGACAGTTGGCACTTGCAAAGCATGAATGAAGGTGGTAGTTGTAGTTGTTGCCACGTCCTTTCTAATTCAGCGTGAAGCAGGTTGTGACAGAGATGCACCAGTAAAAAAGTGAACATTTGCAAATTCAACTTGATTTACCAAGAGGAATAATCGACAACAAAACGAGTACGGCAACCATTCCCGCAGTTCTCTTCAAAGACATTTACAGTACATTTCTTGATCAACCCAAGATGTGTATATACAGATATGGCGACAGATTGTGCTTATCCCGCAAAGGTTGCACCTGGCAAAGGCATGTAAGTATTTGATCGCCATAGATCATACTCTCGACTCACCATTGTATCCAATGTTTTCCCTCGGTACATCGAAGAAGTTGATGTAGATTCGATTCGCAGGAATACCAAAACTCGATAGAAGCTTAGTCAATTCAGCTGAAACTGCCTTGTTATTGGCCTGGTTGATCGCACCGAGAGAATAGCAACATCCAAGAGCACAAGGGGTATCTTCACCACCCCAGATCATATCCATACCATCCGACACGCACACTGCTACATACGACTCGGGCTTGCCTAGACCCTTAGCAAGAGCTGAGCTAGCAGCTTTCATGAATTCTTTCTTTTTATCACCCATCTTAACATTGGTGTTGAGAATCAACGAGGGATCTCCAGCGCAAATTTGTCCTGTTACCGGATCTATCCCACAATCCTTGGGAATCGGAAATCCTGTTCCGCCAGACAAAGACATTCGCAAGGAAGGAGCATCTGCAAGCTTTCTGGCAGGAGCTGTCCTTCCACCCAAGACTGTCGGGGACTTGGACGGGACGAGGAAGGAGTGGGACGAGGGCAGAGTCGCGATGGCAGCAGTTGCGGCCAGGAGAAGGACACGGGGGGACGCCATGGACGGAATGGAACGTTGTGCGACCTACCCACCCCAACCATCCTTTAGAGAGGAGGTAACATTCCATAAGCTCCAAAGGTTGGGTGCAAGTACCGGTCATTTACCCGAAAAAACGATTTGATTTCCCCAAAGGGTCCACGAACCTTTCGGAATAGGGGTGGGGTCATCAGAGATTCAGTCTAGCAGGGCTCATTTGAGCAAAGGTTGGTGGGGTGGGGTAATATTTGCATTTTAGCTCCTGGTACAGGGGGGTGGTGGACATAGGGCTGAAGGGGTGGGACGATCGGGGCGGGGTAGTTGAAGTCAGCGTGCACGAGACGCTGACCTTTTTGATATTTAAAGATAAAACATTATTTTTAAACTTTGGTTTATTGTATATTTCAAAAACATTTTGTATTTAAAACAAAATATACCTATACTTTTCTGGTATTCAGTAAAAACATAAAAGGTTTATTTTCTACAGCAATTTGTATATATGTTTTATCCAGTAACACAATTACAAGTGAATATTTTAAATGGCCCCACCAATGGCAATCGGAGCAGCAGGCATACGTGCTGTATGAAAGATGCTGCTGACTACCAACATTTGTTAGTCCAAAGTTGAGGCGAGCTTGAAGCTTTCGTCTTGCGGAATATTTCAGAATTGAAGAGCTCTGTTTGCTTCAAAATACATCGAGACATTTCAACATTCATCTAAAACCAGAATTGAGGGTCAAACGTGGACCCCTCACCACCGCGATTTTGACTGTCATTCACTGGCAAAACAATGGGTGGGGGTAGTACTACAAAGAGTCGTTTCTGATTTGACCCCACCCCCTGAAGTGGAGGAGTAAACGGATATGACGAGGTGGTGGGTGTACAAGTAGTCGGACATGGGGTAGTAGAATAGGAAGTAGTAGCTGAGAAGGAGGGTGGGTATGGAAGTTGTGGGATATGCGAAGGTGGGTGATGAACGGGGGGTAGGTAGTTGTCAAGTTGGCGTAGACGTCAGTACAATTTTCAGTTTGTTGGGTATTTGATTGGACAAAAGTTTCAAATATCTACTCAGTGTTTGAAATTTGGGAAATTTCGTTCCAGCGAGCTATTTTTACTCACAAAGCAAACAGATGCCAAGTTGATTTGCGCCATGGATCCTCTGCGACAGGGTTGCAGGGCCATGCCGAGGACAGCGGCAGCATGAGCTGAATACGGTAGATGGAAGTGAGGTTATGGCAGGGAGATGTAGACTCCCACATACGTGCAAGCAGCCTGATAGGTTTGAATGAGAGTGAGAGGAGTTCAACGTGATGCAGGGATTTTCTTTGCCACAAGCTACGATATGTTCCAGTCGAAACAGCCATTGTTCAGTGTGGCATGAAGCACGTCTGAGGTGAATGGAGTTGTAAGAAAGGACGCAGACTTAGAAACGTGCAATTTTTTTGGGTTGTCTAGATATATGCTTGTTTGTTGATTTCATAGTGTTGTTTTCTGATTGCTTTGTCGCAGGAAACATGGCTGATACGTCCGTTGGTATTCATTACTTCGCCATGTATCCTGGTTTCTCATGGCACTTTCAGGAGAAGCAACTGAAGTTGATGCCGAAGCACTGAACTCCGAGAATGTTTATTGGATCGATTACAGGTTAATTTTTGTATTTGGACGGAACGCGTTGCTGAAAACGTGCTTTCGTGTCCAGGAAGGATCGCAACTTCTTGGGAAGTGAGTTGAGGTCTGGAAGATTCAAAATCACCAAGTTCATCCATGCAAGGCAAGCATGCATGATTTTCGACGAGTTACGGAGTTCCATATGTGTAATGTTGTGCATCCCCAGTGAGGTGTCATCTGTTGGATTGGTTTGGGAGGGAAGAGACAAGAAGAAGAACAACATGCGTGTGGCAATAAAGACCCCGAAGAATCCCGCAACTCCATCTGACTGGCCGTCAAACTGGTAAAAGACAAACGCACGTGAATTATGTCTGTGACCGCGCTGTTCAGGATCAAGGAGTTGAAGGGTCTCATGACTTTTTCCAAGCTTGTGCATCCAAACATCATGAAAGTTCACGGAGTTTATGATGAGAAGTGCCCTACTTCCGGTGGCTTTGGCAAAGCTGGACAGCATATCCCATACATAGTTTTGGAGCATTGCCCTTGCACTGACCTGTTCTCTTTCTTGGTTCGTTGCTTAATTCCGAATCTGTACAAATGTGACACCTTGTTTTCAGGAGAGCAGAGGTGCATTTCCCATGCGTCTCGCACGTCACTACTTTCTCCAACTGATGAATGGTGTGAAATACATTCACGACAAATCCACTTCTCACAGGCAAGCCACGTTTGCGTCAAAGTGTAGGGTAGTAAACGACTTATCAACAGAGATATCAAGCCTGACAATATCATGCTTGACAAGTGGCTTACGCTCAAGGTATCATTCAAGTATTTGATTTTGGTTCTGATTTGTTCTCATTGCATCTAGATTGGAGATTTTGGATTCGCCCGTGCTGGAGATCAAGAGAAAGGGTTCAGATCCGTTCTGGTACCTAGATTGATTGTCAGACTTCGATGTGCTTTGACAGATTTTCTTTCTTAAGGTTACCAAGCTTGGAACCCCAGAATATCGTGCACCGGATATTTACATTGATACTCCTGGCTCCAATGTTGGAGGCACAGGTTTGTCTCGTTGAAGCCAACGCGGTCAGGAAGGCTTATATTTTGCAGACCACGATCCACGTGCTCAAGACATTTGGGCTTGCGGTGTGACCCTTTTCGTGCTTCTCTGCAGATGCTATCCGTTCGGAAGGAAGGTGTGTCTCTTGTTATCTTCGATGAATGTCAATGGTTGTAAATTGTGTACAGGACTCGAGAAGAGGATGCAGGCAGTTTTTCAGGTGAAGCCAACAAGCTCACACCAATTTTCTCCCTTGCTCACAATGTTTTTGAAGCATGTTGGATTCCGACAAGGATGAGAAGTATCCACCTACCCATTTGAACTACTGGAACACTTCCGATCACTACCTGATGGGCAATGTCACTCCCGGAGGTAGTCAACTTAATTACGGATATGGCCTTGTGAATTTTTGTATGTAGACATGCGAGCTATCATTCAGTCTCAGGAACAAGGCAGTGCTGGAGGAGGTAACACATGGCATATCGACGTGATCTGTATGTTGATCGAGGATGCGAAGGTGCCGCTTGCATCGACCTCTTGAACCGAATGTGGGACTGCCGTACCAAGAGGCGCATCACCTCCAAGCAAGTTCTTGAGCATCCTTGGATCGAAGGCTGAACCTCTCCCGAGGTAACTTGAAGATGTGCCGCACGAAAGGATGATTTTCCATTCAGAGTTGAGGAAGTTGAAGACCAGCTCAGGGAGTTTGTCGCTGGAAAGGTCTTGATAAGAATTTCTTGTGTTTTGTTATCTCATTCCTTGCTTTTGTTCAGCTCAAGCCCGACGAGAGCATGCTTCTTGGACAGATGTTCGCTCTCAAGCCAGGTAAACCTCTATAATGAGTCCCTCACATCTCAAGCCTGTACCAGGCACGGATCGTATGCTCATGGAGGTCCACAACTCGTAAGAGGGACACACGGCTAGCCGAATAATGGCGAACGCAGTTTTGTCGCAAGAAGTATTTCTATGCGTTAGATAAACATTTGATTTGCTACTGATTGTATGCGACTACCTGAGGGTTCTTATGGTTTGGAGTTTGTTTACATTTTACAATTCCTACTCACACCCATTCCTTTGAGTCTTATCAAGCTCCTCCTGTCGAGCTGCTTGCAGCGTCTGGCGTTTGCCAGCGCGACAGCTTGTCTTTCACTTCTTGCAGCGCCGTAGTCAAGTGCAACTTCACGATGGCGAACCAATCTAGGCACTGAATTCGAAGTCGCTGCCATGACGTGGCAACGAGCAACGAAAGCTTGTCAGCACTCTCCGAGCACGCATGGAGCACTTGCGATGCATTCGTGCTCTTCAAAATTTCCTCCAGGCCCTGCAGACCGCATGAGGAAGAATGCCTTTCAACTAGATCGGCTTGCTGAGATGCGCTCTCATTGGCCTGCCTCTGCTGGGCAATCAGACTCTCCTCGAGCTCCAAAATCTTCTCCTTCAGCGAGTGAATCTCATCTCTGGCATTTTCCAGCCGCTGGTTATCGTCGATGCTCTTCTCCTCCAGTATCTTCACTCTCTGAATCAACTCCATCTCATGGTTGGTGGCATTCTGTTGCCTTTCCTCAGCAACTCTTTCCTCTGCCTCCGTTGCATTCACGTTTGAAATCTCGTCGTCGCCCTTCTCAATAGACTTCGCCATGGATGGTTTCAATCTGGCGGCTCAGTGAGATCAAAAGGAAGGAGAGAACACTGACCTGGCGTTTGCTCTTGCTAACGCTAACTCTCGAGCTTCTTGCGCCCTGATGATGATCTTTTCGAGCTGCTCAGTCAATTGGTTAGCTTTCTGAGCACTCTCCTCGTCTATCTCCGTGTATTGCTCGCACTCAGCTTCATCTGTCTCGGCGTTGTTGCTCGTGACTTGCTTCACATCCACGTTTGAACCGCTTGCTTGCGTCATGGAAAAACTCTGCGGGGATGCTTGTGTCTGGCTCTGCTCTTGCATCCCAGAGGAGACACGCAGATCCACTTGTGGACGAGGACCTGTAGCAGAAACAACTTCTTCCTCCTTATCTCTGATTATATTCATGCCCTCGTCCGGCTCTCGCCCTTGCCCTTGCCCTTGCTCCTGCTCCTGTTCCTGCTCCTGTTCCTGCTCCTGTTCCTGCTCCTGCTCCTGCTCCTGCTCCTGCTGCTCTTGATCATACCACTCGTTTGAGTACACCACTCTGGGTACTGGCTGCTCGCTCTCAATCTCTATCCTTGACGCTTCAACCACGAGCACGTTATTCTCCATACCATCCTTGTCCTTCTGTATGCAGCCGTCAAACGAACCGACACGCGGTAGGGTCAAACCTTGACGTCAAAGCTTGGATCACACAGCCACTGCTCATCAGCTACAAACTTGAACTGCCACTCGGGTCAACCAGAGGCAGCCAACGTCCTCCACCCACCTGATACTCTCCCGGGGGCAGCGCAAGCTCCTTCCTCCAGATCTTCTGGTTGGGGTCGACTAGCTGCATCTCGATCGGCCGCCAGTCGTTCCAGCTTCCTCGGATCTCACACCTCTTGACGTGGCTGCCGAGACGGAGGTCGATGCTCTTCTTCACTAGGCCATGGAACTCCTGCTCTCCTCCCCGCAGCACCAGCAAGCCACTCATGTGGTGCACTAACGTGGCGCTCACACCGAGGAAGAGCAAAGACGCGTACAGGTTCATGCTTGAGGAGAAGACCGCACCACACTCAGAGAGATCAAGGGGAGTGCAAGCTGCCCGACTGATTTCAAAACAAGCGAAACTGCAAATAATGCGGTCAGCTAACCGGGCTTTGAATGAAATTGTGAATTTGCGCATGAAATATAGACCCTTTCAAAGTATCAAAACCTCTCTATCTCTGCTGAAAGAGTCATCCTACACATAGGCAGCCCCAGACTCTTGATTCTCGCTCTGACTTCTTCCATCCAGCTGAAATCCTCTCGTCCTTGTACACTATTTTACAGGTGCCGTAACAACGCTTGAGCTCTATCCTGCGGGGAATCTCGCTAAGACACAGGTTGAATCTTGTCTTCAGTATTGTTTTTAATGTCAGACGTGATGATCGGGTAGATCCTTCTGCTTCAACACCCCTTAAAACCTCCTCAGTGTATCCTCGTCAATAGCATAGAGGACTCAAGAAATGCAGGGAAGAATCTCCGCATCTTCATCGCATGGAGCGGGTTTTAATGACTCGTCTCCTCCTGGTCTATGTTTTCTTCAATTTTCATCCCTCAGTTCCTCGCTCTCTCATCCTCCTCTTCCCCTCTCCTTCTGCCTCCTCTTCGTCGCTACTGCATTCCTGGCGGCGTCCCTATATCCCCTCAGGGGGACCACCCCACCCCTCCACGTACCAGACCTACCCCCGTTTATCCTACAACCACAGAGGGGTAAGGTTGTACATCATAGGTTATGAGCCGAGGCCGCTACTTGCTGACCATCTTGAGCACTCAGTCACACGGTGGACTGCGGCCCGGCGGACTCCCGGCGATCCGTCCGTCACCCGGTGACCGGCGATACCAGTGATACCCGTTGACTCGCCACCGGTGACGAATCTGCTTGACGACGGCCGAGCCTCCGATTCAGGCTCGGACGGTTCGCCGCACCGGCGGCAGTCACGGACGGTCGCGCCCGGCCGGGTGACTCGCCGGTGCGGGCCCGGCCTGGCCCGCAGCCTGAGGTGACTCATGAGGGGGATGAAGGGGATGCATAAATGATAAAGCAGTATCGATATACTCGAAGGCAGTACTATCATGAGTCTCATATTACTCGGAATAACGCCAAGTTAGAAAAATGGAGACAAGGCATAACAGAAGAATCAAACGATATTGCAAGAGTGTCAGCAAAAACGTCTCGGTTGGATCACTATGAAAGATACATCGACACCGTGGTGAGACTAAGCGAGATCCTGTTCGAACACAATTCATGATTGTCAAAACAAGTTCGCACGCCTGAAGATGGATAACTACATCCACAAACACAAGGCGATTGATACGTTCTTCAAGAAGATGAAAGGCAATGGTTCAGATCAAAATCCAATAATTGCATATGGCGATGCATCATTCGGTTGTTGTAAAATGGATCAAAAGGCGATGTCAGAACTTCTTCGAGGTGACGGCAGTTGAGGAATACAGAACGACAAAATGTTGCAATCAATGTCATCAAGAATTGTATGATTTGAGACGCAAACAAATCAACAAGAATGGTATACTTGCTGACGAAGTGTCAGTTGTGCGGGGTTTGAAATGGTGCAGATCCACCAATTGTGTTCAAAACCGTATCAAGTCTCGTGATGTCAATGCTGCTATGAATATTCTATTGTGCTACATGTCTCTACCAGCACGACCAGATTTTCTGAAACGGCCTTGAATCACACATGGGTCTGGTTATACTTCAACCTGTTCTTCATAGAAAGGATCAAGTACGAGTCAGACACAAGGAAATATTGGCGCCGTGGGTCTTCCATGATCCATAATTTCGACGGAGAATTTAGAATTTTGAAATTTTATGTTTTGTGTCGTTTAGCTAATAAAGCGGTAAGATGGGGGCTGCGAAATGAGATGGGGAGGGGCGAGAGAGGAGGAGAGGGGGGGAGAGGAGAGGGAGGGAGTGCGAGCGAGGAGGAGAACAAGCAAGAAGAGGAAGGGAAATGAACCTGGTGCTCAAGTAGGAGATAGAGGAGGAGAGTGCGCTGTGAATGCGCCATAGGTCACGGATCGTTCACTATTTTCTTTCGAAATAGGTGGTAGTGGTTGCGAGGAGAGAGGAAGTGGCTTCGAGGAGAGAGCGACTCAAGTCCGGCATCGTATCCGCCTTCTCAATCTAACTCATGCCTTGTGTTGCATTGAAGGTTCAAGATGCAGGCAGGAGAACTATGAAGAGATACCCCGCAAACAAGTGGTAAAGACACCTGGTGTTTCGGCCATGCCCGGCATTGAAAGGTGAGAAGCAGCTACATGCGAGCACAGGCTCACTTACATGCAGACGTGTCTGATCGTCCTCATCGCACTCTCGTTCGCTGCCTCCAGCTCTTCCTGGGCATAGCCGTACCAGGGGTCACCATGAAGGCTTCGTGGATAGGAGCGTGTCCCTTCCGGAAACGTTGTGATCATGCGTGTCATAGCGGAGAGATGACGATGCCTCAGGGTCTTTCTTCCTCCAAGCCCTCCTCGGCGCCGTCACCCTCACTGTCGGCCATGAGAACCGCAAGTTCATTCGCTGGGACCCGATGCCTTCTGCCTTTGCTGCTCCCTCCTCCTCCAAGACAGCGTTCTGTCCTGCTCTTACTGGGAGAGCAGAGCAGCTGGCTTCGAGTTGTGCTCTTTCTGTTTCCCCCCGCCCTCGTCACCTCGCCTGCTCGCCTCCTCGTCAAGCTGCCATGAAGTGCTTGATCTACAGCATGGTCGCGCGCGAGAGGAGGAGGGAGCCGCTGCTGTCGTCGTCGTTTGTCGTCGTCGCCTCCAACGCCTGCACCTTCTGCTCAGCCAGCAAGGTCTTGCTTGCTGTCTCCTAGTCCACCTGAACCAGCACCAGGATGAGGCCGAGCGCGAGCTCTACCCCGACGACCTCACCAGTGAGGGGACGAGGGGGGCATGGGATGGCTGGCTTGACTGTCCTGCAGGAGAGCTGCTGGATGACCTGCAGGCCTGGGGCAGCAGCAGAGGGGGGAGAAGAGGATCGAAGTCGACGCAGAGAGAAGACGAGAGCGCCATCGCTTTCGTCGACGAAGTTTTGTCCTCGTCCCGTGCAGCCGGGGAACAGCTCAAGGAGGAGGAGGAGAAGGAGGAGGAGGAGGAGGAGAAGGAGGAGGAGCCTGCAGATGCTAGCGAGGCTTCAGAGGAGGAGGTGCCATGTGACGAGACTCTTTCTGTCGGTCCTGACGCCGAGCAGGAGGACTTTGAGCTCGAAGCGTTTGCAACTGTGGGCGGGAGGTATGACTCGGAGCTGTTGGCACTGCGAAGGGTATCGATCCTTTATCCTTCATTTTCTTCTCCCTTCCCTTCCGTCTGCTTCTTCCTGTCTTCCCTTCCCTTCCCTTCCCTTCCCTTCCCTTCCCTTCCCTTCCCTTCCCTTCCCTTATTCCCTTCCCTTCTCGCTCTCCTTCTCGACCTCCTTCCCGTGTCCAGGGTCTTATGGGTATGGCAGGAGGAAGACCTGATCCTAGCAGCTCCGTTTCAGGAGGACCTGCAGCGTGTCCTGGTGAGGCCTCCTCGTCAGTTCTTGCTCGTCCTCACGTGGTGCAGGGGGGGATGGGCGCTGAGGAGCCATGGAAGGTCATCGCTAGTGAGAGCCTGGGGTAGGAGAAGCCGCCTCTGCTCCCCCTGACGACCTGCAGGTCCAAGTCGTTCGGAAGGGAGTGGAGGAACGTGCTGACGAAACTGAACAAGGAGCTGAGGTGAGAGGGGAAGTTGCGACAGGGGAGGAGGCGAGGAGGGAGAGGCGAGGAGGGGGGACATCTTTTCGTCCTGACTTGTTTCTTCAGGATCCCCGGAAACAAGATTTCAGGCACGATGAAAATGAGGAGGAAGAGGGGGATGAGGAGGAGGCGGCAGGGGAGGAGGAAACGGGAAACAGAGGCGAAGGGAGGAGGAGGAGGCTCACAAAGTTTGCAGACATGATTACGCGCTTCTCGGGTCTCCTCGCCGTGAATCCTCAACGAATCGTGAGGAGGAGGAGGAGGAGGAGGAGGAGGAGGAGGAGGAGAATTTGTGATGTATCGGCAGGATGACTTGAAAGCCCTTCTCACTGACCGCATGGAGTTGTCACTGAAGGTAATTGGAGCTAGGGAGACAATGGGGGAGGAGGACCAAGAAGGAGGGAGATGAGAAGTTGACGAGCTGTTGCAGGAAGTGCGCTACATCCTGTCTCGACGCCCTTCGCTGCTGTCGTACGAGGTGCCGCAAGAACAAGAGAGGGAGGGAAGAGAACACGAGGAGGGAGGGAGGGAGAGGAGGCGGGGGGGGGGGGGGGATGTGGAGGAGGAAGTGGAAGGAAGGGTATGTATCTAACAGAATGTCAGGTTTGGGGAGAACGAGGATTCGAGGCCACGGTACAGGAGCTGCTCAAGGTGAGGAAGAGGATGAAGAAAGGATTCAGTTTGACTTTGAGTCAGCTCGGGATAAAGAAGAAGCATCTACAAATCGTCTTGATGAATTTCCCCGGTAACCTCCCTGAGCCTCTTGCTCCTCCTCTTGCTCCTCCTCTTGCTCCTCATCCTCCTCTTGCTCCTCATCCTCATCCTCTTGCTCCTCCTGCTCCTCATCCTCATCCTCTTGCTCCTCATCCTCTCGCTCCTCCTCATCCTCATCCTCTTGCTCCTCCTGCTCCTGCTCCTGCTCCTGCTCCTGCTCCTGCTCCTGCTCCTGCTCCTTCTCCTCCTCTTGTTCCTCATCCTCGTTGTCGTGCTCCTCCTCCTCGTTTCCTCTCTTCCCACCCTCCTCCTCCTCGTTTCCTCTCTTCCCACCCTCAGTCTTGTTACGTTATGATCTTTCAGGTGTCTTGACCGTCAAGCCGAAGACTATCATGAGGTTTGACTCAGTGGCTCCCCTCCTCCTCTCCTCCCATCATTTCCTTCTCTCTCTGCTCTGCTTCTCTCCCTCCCTCCCTCCCTCCCTCCCTCCTCCCTCCTCCCTCCTCCCTCCTCCCTCCTCCTTCCGCTTCCTCCCTTGCTCCTGATGTAAATCTCTTCTACAGCGTTGTCGACGTTCTCTGCGATGAGGATAGCGGTGGTCTGGACATCGAGAAGGTGAAAAGCCTCCTCCTCCCTTCCTCTTCCTCTTCCTCTTCCTCTTCTCTCTCGCCTCCCTCGTTCCCCCTCCTCGTTCTCGTCCTCTCCCTTCTGAAGTTCCCTCAGGACTTTCTGCCCCTCGTTCGCAAGGCTCCTTGGGTGCTTCTGTTCGACCCTTCGAGGTAAAGGAAGACGAGGAGGCAGAAGATAATCGCAGGAGGGGAGGAGCAGAGGAGCGGAGGACGGAGCGAAGGGACTTGACTGTAGGAGCAGGGAAATCGAGCCAGTGGTCGAATGTCTCTTCTCACTAGAGGTAAAAAATATGCTTCACCTCCTCCTCTTCCTCCTCCTCCTCCTCCTCCTCCTCCTCCTCACTCATCATCATCATCATCATCA